GCACTACTTGTCTGCCTATTCATCTTGTGTTTCTGTTTTTGTTCTTTTTACCTCAATGTTTTGTTTTGTTCTATTGCATTGTGTTTTGTTGTGTTCCGATACACAAGCTGCTATGACGACTTAATTTCCCTCCGGGGATGAATAAAGTACTCTATCTATCTATCTATCTATCTATCTATCTATCTATCTATCTATCCTGCTCATGTGTAGTCATCCAAGTGTCTGCAAGCCCCGGCATTTGCATTCGACTCAAATGGCGTCATTTACACCAAGTTTTTATCCTAAATGTCCTCGGATAGCCTCCTCTGAGGCATGTTTACGTATCCTCAGACACACGGCCCACCCCACACACTCTCGCCCAAGAGCAGGGTGCATTCATGTGGCTACGTCAGCTAGCATCGCCACTTATGGTAGTGGACTTGGTTTAAATGACCTTGTTTCGAGTTTAATATGAATGTCTTGGCTTGCAGACACTTGGATGACACCACACAAGCAGTAAGGAGGAATGTAATGTTTTTTCTGTTGTTATATTAAGTCTGATGAAGAGGTCACTTGCTAAAACACTGTTTACCCCTGAAACTCCTGATGTGTTTGGTGGACTCAAACACTTCACCCAGCCCTCCATCGTCATTGCGGTGAGTAGATAATGAGTGAATTTTCATTTTTCAGTGAACTATCCCTTTGAGTCTGGAATGCAAAACTGTGTTACTGTTGTTCAGTTGGTGTTGATTAAACTGTATAATTATTTTGGAGGTTGCGCTTTGTGGTTCTGCTGAACTAAAAACATATGAGCGAACACCAGTATTGATGTGCTGCAAACAATATCATGTGATCTCCGCAGCAGAATTAATAGGATACATCCTGCCTGCTGCACCACCCCTCGCCTGAATCCTGTGGAGGATTTGTTTCTGTTGTGAACACGTCTCTGTGCAGAGAAAACTCCCGCATGGAACCTTTGCATGGATGGCCAACGATCCAATTCTCTGGAGTTCCTCCGCAGGTCATGTCTGAAAACAGCTACAGTAACTTAGAAAAAGCATCCAGACACTTTAATTTAGCTCCAGTCTTCCATTTCCCTTTGAGATGTTGGCGAGAGTCCAACGATGATACATTTGCTTGATTGGACATGATTTAGAAAGTAACACATGTCTATGCACAATCACGCAGCAGATGACTCCTCAACTGAAAGTACAGTTGAGTAAAATAGATATTTGCTGAATATACTGTATTGTTATACAACTTGTCAGCAGCCAGAGTCATGGTGGAAGTTTTAGAGTCATGGTTGAAGTTTCTGAGCCGGAGAATAATGAGCAGCAGACAGAACAGGACTCACCTGTAAACTGCTCCACATTTATGACTCAGCTGGACTTTCCCCTTTGCTGTTCTGTCTTACATCAGACACTGCAACTACAGTATGATCTCACCACGCACACCAGCAGAAAACTCAGATTTGCATATTGCATTTTCTCCCAGTCTCGGTTGACATAATTAACATATCGTTCCTTCTTATTCAACCCAACTTTTTGAAAGTGATCAGGGTTAGCCAGGAATTCAAATGTGTCATCTAAAGGGTGTGTGACTGAGATTATGCATCATAATTTAGCATCATTCACAAACAAGAACTAACATACAAATAATGAATATTAGCCATTGTTGCCCGATATATAAGCCAACTCAATTTGAGTTTCACCTTTTTAAACTTATTGTAAGTTGCTTTGGATAAAGGGGTCAGCTAAATGAAATGTAATGTAAACTGAGTTATAAGTTGGCGAGAAATTAGTGTGAAATTCTGTTATCTGACGATGTAACGCTGCTAAATCCTTTCAAACATACCCTCTGGGCTTTCCTCGTCTGTTCACCACTTATCAACAGCTGCTAAAACAGGCAGATTTACTAGTGTAGCTCTTATTGACACACTGTATAACTACAAATTTCCTGTTTACAAAACACCCAGTCAAATACTAGATCACAGAGGGTCACAATACAACCAAGGATAACATCAGATCACAGTGGAGTGAGAGCGGAGGCCTGTGGAAACACTGAGGAGGATCGCTTTTGCTCAGCTGCAGTACGAGCTGAACAGGATTCCACAGCTTGCTCTGCAACTGTCATGGAGACTGGAGTGTTGGTTCAGTCTAATCTGTGTCAACACCCGTTTCTTAGTTTGAACTTCGCCTGTGTTAATGATTATTCACTACCAAGCAAGGCGGGACTGAGATAACATCAGTCCACTTTACTGTCAAATACACTCTGTCATTGCTTCACTTCCCCTGAGAGTGGACACTGCCAACAGAGGGGGGACACTCAAATCATCTTCACACAAATATTTTACACAACACACTTGACTGTGTGGTCACTTTGTTTTTACTGAAACTAGTGAGACAGAGTTGAACATATATGATACAAGATTAACAGCACAGGTCTTGTTTGCCTTTTTCACTATTGAACAACTGCTGATCAGCGGATGGATACACCACCAGCTTAACTTTGAATACATTGCTAAAACACAAATGTCATATTATATTATATTATTATTTTATATTAATATATTGTGTCACTATTCTAATACTTTGTGGGATTCGTTTAAATCAACCCTCATATTTGCTGAAAATGACACTAGCTCCGAACCTGGCTGCCACCTCACAGCTAGAATCTGTGTCAGTGGTGGTAAAGCTTGCTGCCATAAGATCCACACAGCTCTCCATTACCAGTATCAAATAGGATGCTATGCTAATCCTATCACAAGTCACGCTAGCTGGAGCCGGAGGACTAACAAACAGATAGAGGGATGGCTGCTAACTTACTAGTCAACTCCGTTGGAAAGTTACGTATGTCTTTATTTCTCAAATGTAATGGAGAGACTGCATTTTATTTTCACTTGTTTGAAAAAAGGACTGATGCTCTACTGACTGTGGATGTGTGTGTGTGTGTATTTCATTTTGCAGCTTTTGGAAGACAAAACTTCAGAGCATCATCTCGAGGACAGAACTTCCAAAACTCAAACACAGAAACACTCAAGCACAAACAATCGAGCTCTATGGTGAATGCAAGGCGAACCAATGGTAGATCACACCCTTAAGACTGTGTCGCTGCCTCTGGTCAAACACGAACAATTAAACCAAAGATGGTGAGTGGATGGACAGACGTGCCTTGGACAGCTGTGTCTCGTCTGTCCCACAACACGAGAACGGGTTTTCCAGGAAATTGAAGTTTATCAAGAAGACAGCCTGAATGACTTGAGACTGTGCTGTAAAACCAACTGCTGACTATCAAGCACAGTCAGTTCAGCTCAACACACTAACTTTGCCCAGTGGAGGTTTAGATAATGTCAGGTGCGCCGAGAGCATGGATTCCCAATGGTCACAGATCCTCAGATCAGTGCCGCAGATTTCATGTATGATGAGATTAAGACAGTGAACTCAGAAGAAGTAAGATATTTGACATCATTTCCACACATGCATGGATCCTATACCTCCCACGCACTCTCCTCTCTCCTGCATGAAAACGACGCTGACTATTAAAAGCCTCACTATTTCCTTATCCCTCTGACAGCACCTGGTTCTGAAAGTATCTGGTGACAACACGTTCCGAACTTTGTTATCCACGAGTGGGTTCAGGAAACATTGCACAGAAATCAAAAGTTGTATTCTATGTTAGTTGATCTTTGTCAGAGAACATTCTACAGGTGACTGACACAAGCAGGACTTAGGAGGGAGGAGATTTGGAGGAGAAACTGCTTCGTGAATTATTAGTAGCTGGGACAGTTAATACATTAATTCAGGGGTTCATTAAAGATTGACAGAAGGAAGTGAAGTTCAATGACACTAGTTATGTTTTGGGGGGAAGAAGAAAAGATCTTTGTCCAGTTCACTTACCCACTTTATCGACTCCATACTTATGGCCGGCCACCTGATGTGACAGCGGGACGCAGCCGTTCAGATGAGCCGGGCCTTGTGGCCCCGTCGGCCGCTGGCCACTTTTCTCTTTGGCGGGGGGTCCGCCGGGGAGCCGCGGGGTCATGCTGACCCCCACGGCGGCTGGGCTGGAGGTCAGATCCAATCTGCCGAGAGCTAGAGAGGACTCCATCATCACCTGATGCTGGGTGGCTGACATTTGTTCAAAAATAAAAAATAAAATAAAAAGGAGGAAAAGAACGGATTCTTGGTCCAAAAAAAAAAACTGAAGAGCTGAATGTGTAATAAAACAATGGACGTGACTGTGTTCATTCACATGCTGTCACCACATCAGCACAGGTCGGGCAGCCTCGCAGAGAAGGTCCGGTCCACGTGAGACACGCGCACAAGCCTCGGTCGTGCTCGTTGTTTTCGACCAGCGACGTGACCCGTGTGGTCAGCCCGCTGTGGTCAGCCCGCTGTGGCCGGAGGAGAAGCAGATCTCCCGGAGCAACAGGGATCCAGTGATTTTCATTTCTGGAACAGCAGCATAAATACACCCTGGACACATCCCACTTCCACAAGCCTCCACCACAGCGCAGCAAATACTACTTCCGTTCCGGGCCTCCGAAATAAAACGTAGTGTGCGGCGTAATTCCACAGTCGCGATGCTCTCTTACTGATTGAAAAATATCGCCTGTGTTTTTTCTGGTTCCCCCCACTGCTCCACGCCACCGCAGGAGATCAAATTCAAAATAAAACGATCGTATTATGAAGGCAGCATAGCGCAACTTCCGGCCTAAACTGTTCCCAGTTCAGTTAGCTTGACGTCGCTCCACTTCCTCACTGAGGAGTAAATGATGTTGTCTGTCAGAAAAGCTGAGGTTATATCCAGTTCCAGTCCAGCGCTGCAGAGGCAGGCGGAGACAATAAACCCCTCAAATGCATAAAGAAGCTACTGAGTCCAGATTTCAATCGATAACGTATCGATACTGTCCATTAGGCTGCTGGAGCGTCACAGCTTAGCAGAGCAGGGGCACATCGCCGTCGGAGCGCCTTCATTACGGAGGTCTGTGTGTTGACGATGATCCCAAACACGGCGTGCTGTGCTGGAGTCCATGGTATGAGAGGAGATCTGCGGGTTCTCCTCCGGTTCTCCTCCGGTTCTCCTCACAGATCCAGGTCAGTGTGGGCGGCTGCTGCCTCTCTACGTAACCAACAACGCCCAAAGAGCCACACGCGTTTACGACACTCGCCTGGACTGTCGTAAAATATACCTTTTTATCCCTTTACGACAGCACTAGTGAGTTATTATCCAAAGAGACAATAACCCCCAACAGTCAACAAAACTATGATCGTCTCTGATAACAGTTCACTGTTCAGTGGACAAGGTAGAATATAATAGATACTAAATCTAAAATACTAACTGTCCTTGTCCTATTCTGTGTTTTTATTTTAATTTTTTCTACCTCAGTATCTTATTCTATTGTATTTTTATTGTATCCAAATACCAGACTAGTGTGACAACCTAATTTGCCTTTGGGGATGAATAAAGTAATCTATCTATCTATCTATCTATCTATCTATCTATCTATCTAAACCTGAGGTGTATACAATCTAATATTTCACTGTCATCATTCAATTCAATTCAATTTTATTTTTATAGCGCCAATTCATAATTTACATTATCTCAAGGCACTTTACATTTAAAGGTCAAGACCTTAAAACAATATAAACGTAGAGAAACCCAACAGTTCCCACAATGAGCAAGCACAGGCGACTGTGGAGAGGAAAMACTCCCTCATTAACAGGGAGAAACCTCTGGCAGAACCAGGCTCAATGTGGGCGGTCATCTGCCTCGACCGGTTGGGGTGAGGAAAGAAAAGGAAGGGGGGAGGAAAGGAGAGATGGATGGAAAGCGGGGGAGAGAAGAGAGAGATGAGGTGGAGAGAGAGAGACCGGGAACAATTGGGCACCATCAGTATCAGGGCTGACTATAACAATAACAATGTAGTGATCTACAACAGGATTATATATATTAATGAATTACTGAGTTATTGTTATTAATGTCTTCATTCATCACATGCTCACTGAGTTTAGGACAGGGTGGTTTCTCCAACAAGGTGGAGTGGAGCAAAGCAACACATTGTTCATATTGATATTATTCATATCCCTTCATTGTTCAAATCCTTCGAGCTGGGGATTTAATCAAATGATCGGTCGTCTCCAGACTACTTGATGCATATGACATAATCTGACTCACAAAGAATTACAAACCTGATTAAGTAGTTTTATTTGGAAGTTGGGAGTAGTTGTAAATCAGGGGAGAAAGCATACATAGCAGCAAAGAATGAGTGCAGTTACTTTTTAAAAATTTTTTGGTTCATGTCAATACCATTCAATACAGTGTATAGGCAACTGTAATGCTCTACAGGTGGATATTAGTGTTTGATTTTTAAACCATGTAAAGGCACGTACAAAGTTGACAAAGTGTGTGTGTCCTGTTTAAGATGATGTGATTCTGAGAACATGTACATTTTAACAGTTCATTTTAGGAGGTCAGAATCTTACTAGAAAGTCCGGAGCTTCCCACATTTACGTTCTCACATACAGCCTCTCCCGACATTCCCAAGAGATTGTCAGGAGTTCAGGGCATGTCTGATAGCAGCTTTACAGATAAGAGGTGATATTGGATGGGAACTTCCAATCATCTGACAAATTTGAGATGATTTGACCAAAGCTTAATGTTTTGAAAATGTTTGTTATGCTTATCCCTGGTCAAGTGCAGTGCATTAGTTTAAATGATTTATTTATTTATGTTAGGATTCAGAGAACAAAGGGCCCACTGTGCAGGACACAGGAGGTGATTGCGAGACGAATAGAGCACAAACAATTTATTAACAACACTATTTACTACTGATAGTAAATCAGTTTATCGAGTTTACAAATTGACAAAAAATAAAAGGCTAACTACCTAAACTAAATTTTTTGGGGCAGTGTCAAAGGGGAACCTAGTGTCCAGGTAAGGGGCACAGTGTTCCCAAGCAGGCGGATTCATGGGAACGGACTCGAGTGTTTGTCCAGGGGGAGTCCAAGAGGAATCCAGGGAATGGTGTTGCTGAGCGGGAATGACAGATCAAGATGGGCAGGTGATCCAGATGCAAATGAAGACAAGGCAGGGTTATGGCACAAGCAGGCAGACACAAAAATCTAAACTCTCCAAAAGAGCATTCAATAAAATAATTTTTTACGAGTTTGCCGAGGTGATGATACCACAAGGGAAGTACTCAGTGCATTGCATTATAGGAGTTCCTCCAATAGTCTAGACCTATTTCAGCATAACGAAGAGATGGTTCAGGCCTCGCCTCACCTGAGTTCACTTACCATATCATTTTCAGGTACTCAGATCTTATTTTTTGACATCCATTTTTGTGATATTTATTTATCAGAAGTGCAGCTTATGTAGTAGTATTAATTGTTGTAGCTACTCATCACTGAGTTTTAGATTATATTAGGCAGAGTCCAGCTGTTAGCGGGTTTCTCAGCACCATTTGAACATCATGATACTTTCTGAATTAGAGCCTAATGTGAGGGACCATAAGCTTCTATTAAGAGTTAGTTATGAACATTATGCAGGAGACAGGATTTAAATCACCTCATGTCTTTCTCTGGTTTTTCTTTACTTTAAACTATTAATTGAACTCTGCATTGAATCTCTAAGAACCAAAACCAGCCTTTTCCCCAGGCTATCATATTTCATGTAATCCGTATTTATAATGGATAACAATAAAATATTAGATGTATTAACATGAAAAAATGCAACTACATGCCTTATTGAAACACAACATGGTATCTTTAAGTTTCCATGGAAATCTTTTAGGCACCACAGATCCAGCTAAGCCTCCTCTCCCATAACTCCAGATTAATCCATGTCCCTAATTGCACTGACAATTACACTTATCTGTCGGAAAGTTTATGTTATCACTTTAATTGGCCTGAAGTTCCATAAACACAAATACATAAACAAAATCCTGGGACCAGTAAACAGTTTGCAGCTCTGTTTACAGGGAGATGAGGTGCTGTTCAGTCTGTTCTCTTGCTCAGAACAACATAATGAGTGTTTACGCTGTAGGCCTACATTTTCCTTATATAACATACTAGTACTACTATTCTGATTTAGCTCACACATATTTCAGTTTCTGTCTTTAATTTCAATGTAAAGGGCTTAGATCTGCGTTTGAATAGTAATCATATTATGCATTGTTAATAAACTTGTGTTTTCACAGCCCACCAACTTGTATCATGATGGGGACGAATCATGAGAAATGTAATAATTAAAACAGAATAAAAAAAATATTTTAGGTAACCAAGAGTGATGTGCATGTGATGATATTGCTCTTTCACACCTCTCTTTCTCTTTTAAGCTCACACACATACAACAAGTGTTGTATAAATGTTATTGAAGAGCCACAAATAGTTTGGAATATTGTCACAAAACTCAATGTTATGAGACTAAGCATTTATAGATAAAGTCTGCATTGAGAGCAGATAGTCATGTCAAAAATAAAACTAGGAATGTGATCCTCCAATAATAAATCTGTTCAAATAAAAAAATGCCTTTTTTCCCCTTTTATGTTCCAAAGTGTGATCATATACAATATAATAGATAACAATTAGATATTATTTCCCATAACATTGTGACAAAATGCCTGTTGAATTCTGTTTCGTTGAAATAAAGCATGGCAATCTGAAGTTTTCTTTTAGGATGAATATGAATCTGGCTGACCAGTGGGATGCACATGAGAGTCTGACATCCAGTTTTCCCTCCTGAGAGAGTCTGACATAGTGAGATTTACAGCCTCCTCCACTATAACTCCAGATGAGACCATGTCCCTAATTGCACAGACAATTACACTTATCTGATGGAAAAATCATGTTATCACTCTAATTGGCCTAAAGTTCCATAAACACAAATACATAATAATATGATTTAAGGGGTGGCTGAAGGAGGAAGCTGTGTCACCCTCAGGCCCTCATCATGATTGGAGCAGTGCATCAAGCCTCAATAGCTTTTGGTTTTAAATAAAATAACACTGGCACTGACCTAATTGTTTCCGTGGGTGTTTCTGTGACCTAAAAGGTTCTGAAATCTAACTTATGCCAACTTTACAGTGTGTTTTGTTTGGCAAGGTCTAAAATATTGTTTTAGTATCTGCAACAAGCATGAATGAATAGCATGAATAGATCTTTTATGGTCGCACTGAAAAGTTTCAAATGGTAAGCAGCCACACTGAAAATACCTGCAAAGCCAAGGTTGTACTGTTAACCACAAACTAAAACCACAAACTAAAACATACAATAGATACATTTCGAAAGTTGTGACCACAGAGTGAATGACTGCATAAAACATTATATATTATTTGTGGATATTATATCACAACTTCAACAATCAAATTAAAATTCAAGTCATCCAGTCAAAAGGCAACTTGCTATTCTGAAAAGTATTTCCTAGTTGGACAGTCATTTCAATGGAAGCAAGTTTGCTCAGTTGTTACAGAGAGTTTCGGATTGTTAGCTCATAGCAATGGCCGGATCAACCAGTTTGCTGTCATGAGTGAATTATTATTTTTCCACTGTAACGCCTGGCTCTGAGGCCACAACAACACATAGACAAGGCAGCGTGATGTAGCGAATTACAATATTCTTTATTGATTTAACATAAAGGGAAATGAGCGATGGAGTGTAAAAGTGAGCGTCAGTAGTGTGTGAGGGTGTTTGAGTGCTATGTAGTTTGTGTGGTGCATGTTGTCAGGTGCAGAACATAACAAAAGTAAGTGCAGCAGGATGGAGATCTCAGGGATGAGTGAGAGACCGAGACAGTCCACGGCAGGGGGTTTATATCAGCAAGCCAATCAGGGAGCCATGCACAGGAAGTTCCAGCCGGCCAACAATCAGCAACCTGCATGACACACCCACACAGCATACACACAGCATACACATCATACGCAGACAGGACACAGGCATGGGCTGGGGCCGTAACATCCACAGACACAGGGGCCATGCCTTGTACATCTTAGCTGGTAATGACAACACTGTAGTTTAGTCCCTGACAGTGAAAGAACTGAAGTTTGAGTTATAGCCGGGGGATTTTCTTCATGTGTCTAAAGGCAAACAAAATGGTTGCAATGCAGAGATACTGAAATAATACTCAATCTCAAAACTGTATCTGATTCAATTTTGTAGTTTAAAAATGACATTCAAAATGTTTTTAACATTTAATCATTTGAACCATTTTGGAAGTTTGGAAAACAACATAATGGCGCATGTATAAATATATACTGTAGGTTTACATAGGTTTCATTTGGGACATATTTGATGCAGCAGTAAATCTGTACACTGAATTCTCATCATCCATTCATTTTAGAGAATGAGTCAATTTGAGGTAAACTACACTTTTTAAATTGGTTATGTTGTTGTTATCTCAACGTGTTTACGTGTGTTACTCATAATCACCTTACAACCAGAATATGAAGAAACCTTTATAAGAAATAATATCGATCCAATGATGATCCCCTGAATGTATATTCCTGGTGTACTCCACCTCACATGCAAATTCAATGTCCCGAACTACGTTTCCCATCATCCATTTCGAATTAGCAACCGTAAACAGAAGAAAGCGGAAACAAAGGGGTTTTTTATTAAACATACACACAGCCCTGGTTGTGGAAGTACTGAAGTACTCAGGGAAGACACTCCAGACTTTGACTTCTCCGGCGATAAAACTAAAAGCGAGCTGAGAAGAGAACCGCACCGTCAACATGGCGCTGAAGAGAATTCAGAAGGTAAGTTTGACTAGCTGCTTTCTTGTTGTCAGCTAATGGCAGACAACTAGCCCGGCAGTCATTTTCACGGTAAGGGGTTATTTCTAAAGATGGTGACGCCGTCCTCACATTCACACAAGCTCTGGTTAGCTGTGCGACGTTGGTGGAAGTTTGTGTTTGCTGACACGTCCCACGACCACTTCAAAGTTTCCTGTTAGCCCGCTAACAGCTAGCACAGTTAGCTTCGTGTGGCTGCCTCCATGGCTCCTGTCACTGTTTTAGACCTGTCACTGTGGAGTCTTCTGTCTTGTCTGCAAACAACAACCCTCCCGTATTTCACAACGCCATTCGGTTCCTTTGGCTTAAGAAGCAGGTGGTTGCTGACAGAGTAACTGTCTGAATAGAATATCAATATTAAATGTACACAGAAACGTTAGGTTTCTCTCCATTTGACCGTAAAGCATGAGCATTAGCACAGGAATGTGTGGAACACTGTTATGATGCAATAACACGAGAGGTGACAAAAGCACACACTGTCTTTACTCAAGTAGAAGTACACAGTCTTGTGTACAAAGTGACTGCAGCCTCTGAGTAAACATACTCAGTTAACACAGGTAGAAAGTTTCTCATCTCCGGGGGGTTCATCAACTCACATTTCAGTTAGTCTTGTGAGAGTTTGTTTAAACTGCTTTGCTCAGCAGGCCCCCGGGTGCGGCTGGCAAGCAAGACAGTGGCAGTTTGGAGAGACGTGCACGTCAACGTAACTTAAGACCCGCAGAAGAGAATGCGAATTGACCTGATATTTGGGATCTTAACTCAGTCCTCTTACCACTGCAGTGAAATGTGCACGAGAAGCTGACTGTGACTTCAGATCATTCAAGTCACAGTCCTGGCATAACCAGACAAACAACTGTCCACACACAGCTACAGAAAATGTGGAGTCTCCAGTTTACCCGGGTCTTTGAACTGATGGAGAAACACTGAGTACTCGAGATTTATTGCCATCAGGCTCAAACCCTGTACTTTCTTACTGTGAGATGACAGTGCTAACCACTTTACCACCTGCTCTCCCCGAATTCATTTCTTTTACTGTTTGTCTGTATCATGTGGTAGTGGAGTCTTGAGTTTTCTGGCTCGTGTGATGGTATAGAAACAAAACTGTGTAAACATTATCAGCATTAGTCACTATGGCTGTCCTATTACCATAGTCATTTGATTGTTATTCCAATGAGGAGAACCTGTTCATTAGAATAACTAACTCCAGTATTTCTGCTGTGTTGCGCAGGAGCTACAGGACCTGGAAAGAGACCCCCCTGCACAGTGCTCTGCTGGACCAGTTGGGGATGACTGTGAGTACACACACACACACACACAGACACACTATATTCCTGGTAAAACGACCCCCTCAAGCTGACACCATCCCCTTTGTAGGATTTGACATAGAATACCTGTGTTCTAGAATAAAAGTGCAACATTCCTCCCTTGAAAGTGGAAGCTTCCTACTCTACTTTCTATGGGCTGTTTGTTGGTTAATATTGGATAATAGCACACAATTATGACACTGAAACGAGCTTTGCATAAAACCAACAAATAAGGCAATGCTTTTTATCCTATGCTTTGTATGTATGTATGTATGCATGCATGCATGCATTGTGGGCAGCTGTGGCTCCACTAGCCAGAAAATTGGTAGTTGAAAAACATAACTTTATTTTGGTACATCACCTCATCCATCTTTATAAATGATCAATTCTCATTGTTTATAATGGCTTGATTATGAGTGATGAACATCGTGTCTGTGACGTGAACAGCTTACATTCTTCTGTGTTTCTCTGTTTCTCTCTTAATTGTCTCTAGTGTTTCATTGGCAGGCGACCATTATGGGTCCAGTGAGTATCATTTAAGTCTTTCAGTCCTCTCATACAGAATCCTGTGCTGCATTTATTACCTATATGGACATAGATTTTTCTACACTACACTCCATTACCTCCATAATTCAATGTCTTAATGTTTCTGAAGTTAAATGTTCAGTGTGTAAGCTTTAGGTGAAAGGGATTTTTGGCAGAAATTAAATATAAAGTAATCCTAGTGATGTTTCACTGGTGTGTTTCATCTAAATTGTATGAATTGTTGTTTTCTTTAACATAGAAAAGGCCCTTTATATTTAAATACTTTATATTTACGTGGAGGGGGGGTCCTCTCTGTGGAGGCAGCCATGTTTTTCACTGTTGTCCAAACTGGACAAACCAAAACCTTTCGAGTTTTCATGACAACTGAAGTTCACCACAGGTTTTCTTTCTTGTTGGGAAGGGGAGGGTGAGATGAGTATTCAGCTGCAACATGAAACCTCATCTCTAGACGTCACTACATTCTACACATTGAACCTTTAAAGCACAGAATAAATAAACAGTTATTGATTTTAACTTCATGGATTCAGTGAATGGTCTGAACCAAGCGTAATCTAAATGTTTGTCTTATTCATCACTATGCTGATGGAGGGGTGCGTGAAGTGTTTGAGTCCACAAAACACTTTAGGAGTCTCAGGGGTAGAGAGAGTTTCTGCCAAAATGACCTTGAGCAGTATGAAGCCATGTTAGGTTTCTTCTGTTGTTTTACTAAGTCTGAAGAAGTAGTCACCTTTTACTTCAATTGTATTGGATTCGGCTGTAACACTGTTTACCCCTGAGACTTCAGAAGTGTTCTATGAACTGTCACACTTCACCCACCCCTCCATCGGCATAGTGGGGAGTAGACAATGAGTGAATTTTCATTTTTCGGTGAACTATCTCTTTAAAGTGTGGAGTCTGTGTGCTGCTGTTCATCATTTGAAGTCTCTGTCTGCTTCTCTTCTTCTATTATCGTGGTTACTTATGTAGCTGCAGGTTGAAGCTCTGACCAAACACTGTCTTCATCTGTTGTTTCTTACCACTCTGGTAGAAACATACAGGACTACTTCCTACTGCATCAGGAGCTGTAGTAGCTGGACAGACTCTGTTATTAACAACTGTAGGAATTGGTAGCATTATCTTTTAAGGCTTCATTTACTTTTTAGCTTGGGTAGTTAAGGCCTGAAGTCATTGTCCCTAAACAAATACGTCATTGTTTAAAATACACTTTACAGCAAAGTAACAAGTTATAACAAGCCCACAGGTCAATGTAAACAAGCTAGGAGAATTGTTTTTTTGGAATTGAAAATATTTTAGCTGCAGTTAACCAAACAGTAATAATGGTTGTTTCCAGTTATATATCAAAGTGAAAAATGACAACAGGGATCTGCTGAGATCTCAAAGTGTGGCAACTTTGTTAATAATGGGGCGTCCTAATGGATCAAATGGTCTGAACTAAAAAAAAAAATTATAATAACAATATAAAAGTAAATAAAGTTATGTGTTTTATCATGTTATGTTGCAGATTTATTTTAAACAATTACTCCTGATCTGTCACTATTGTGTTTGGTTCCAGCTGAATGATTTTGTGGGAAATGTTTTGCTGACAGAAATGTCTCACATGTCTTGTCACCAGGGTGATAGTCCATACCAAGGAGGAGTTTTCTTTCTCACAATCCACTTCCCCACCGACTACCCATTCAAGCCACCAAGGGTAAGAAGTGCTGTGGTCACTCCAAGCTTTGTCCTGTCATACTGTGAAATGTAACATGGTCATTGTGCAGCCAAGTAAACCTCCCGGTCCCGATAATCTCTATGTAATAGATTATATCGTACAAATTGTATGTTCCATGACTGTTCAGTAAACAATGACAAACATTTCTGATGCTCATTGGCAAAGCTTGCTATAATGTTTGCTCACCATTTCTTCTATTTTGAGCTAAAACTCATTCTAGCTGTGTGATCAAATTAAACAAGCTTGATAATGGATAGGTACAGCACGTGGTGTACAGGCTGTAAGATAGGAGGTAGCTGGGATCGACAGCAACTACTCGCTGTTCCAAAACACAGGAAGCCAAGAAAAAGTGTGTGGTGGCTTTCTGCTGGAATCCATTATTTAAACTTACTCAAGTGTTTAAATCCTTATATCTTCTATAAAGTTCTTCCTGTATTGATAAAAGCCATCTCAAATTGAAGTTGTCACCTTTGTCCTTAATGTAGCATATATTATTCTATGTGAAACAAAATGTTGTGGCTCAGAACCTAAAGAACATAAGTACACTAGTACCATGTGACTAAATATGTTTATTTTACAGGTAGCATTTACAACAAAGATATACCACCCAAATATTAACAGCAACGGCAGTATCTGTTTGGACATTCTCCGTTCACAGTGGTCTCCAGCACTAACACTGTCTAAAGGTAATTATAATCTCCGGTTTCTGCTCTCTTCATATTTTATTCTGGATCCTTTTTATATTTGATGTTAAGCATTTTAAATTGCTCTAACAACACAGTAGTAAACTTATGCCATGTTCACACTACACGACTGCTTGACTTGGTGTCATGTGATTCGGGTTCTTTGAGTTCATACTACACGACTGAAGGGGGGTGACAGGGGATCTTGCATCTTTCACCAGGATAAACTCTGACTGGTATGTGTGGTCTCCAAACAACATTTGATCATGAAGAGACACGCTGAGTGTGACTGATCCTCCCATAACTCTTCCATGGAAATCACAGTTGTATAGAAAAA